AAGGACTCGTCTTCACAAATGGCTATATTATCGTACTCGCTGACGCCCAAATAACGCGAATATCCTCCACTGTCCTCTACAAAGTGTAAGAGGATTACCCGAAGCGTACTTGCTTCGGAGATGTACGGTATGGCCAATGGATTCGATGCGGCTGCAGCAATCAAATCAACTCTCACCCAACTGCTGCATCTTTTAGAGCCGCTCCCACTAGTCCTTTGCACTGATTCGAAGAGCCTTTACGAATGCCTCGTCAAGCTGGGTACGACACGTGAAAAACGCCTTATGATCGATCTCATGTGCCTCCGTCAATCGTACGAACGTCAAGAGATCACGGAAGTGAGATGGATCAACGGTAACAGCAATCCTGCGGACGCCATGACAAAGAGCAAGCCCTGCCGCGCTCTACAAGAACTTATTGATACGAACAAGCTACGTATCGACGTTGACGGATGGGTAGAAAGGCCGTTAACGAAGCGCAACTCTGAGTCAAAGAACGTACGATTTGCAACACCTGTTACTACACCGGCTCCATAGATTGTCATTCCTTACCCCGGTCCGCACCCGTTACTTTTGCTTCATTCTTTTGATTTTTCCTTTACCACACCAGATTGTATGTCATTCATTGATATTCCTTCTTTTCCATTCCTTTAGAGAGTTGCCAGTGTCGGAATATCAATCTCATGATTCGGCGCTTCTGCACCCCGGTGCAGAAGCAAGCACGTACGTACGGGAGCGGGATAACGTTATCCCTAGCGCCCGTACGGCAACCTCGTATATAGCTACCATGACACCCCGGGGCCCCCTACTTTCTCTGAGTTAGGCTTTATAATATCGAATATCATATATATACAGCTTCACCCTTGACAGGCTTGTCGGACTAGCCTTGCTACCGTCTATGCTTCGTGATACGGACCGTAGTTAAACCGACACTGATCAGTGAGGCCCACAGATCAAGACCCTATTCTTATTACCCCGATACCCCTATATTGAGCCGTTCAGTCGACCTCAATTCATACCTATCTCCAACGCTCCGAACCACGCGCTGGAAACCCTGACAAGATGCCTCCAACTACGGATTACTCGAAAAGCTTCGATCCGACAGACAAGGACGCAAAAACCATTGAGAAGTGTATAATAGCCCGAATCGAGGACTACACCGACTTGTACGATGAAGATCTATGGAATACATTTCGCGAAGACTTCTCAACATGGACCGAAGGAGCTTTTAGAATTGCGCCTCTAAAGACTCTTATTAACCTACGTGACACCCTGCGAACAAATGGCGTATACGTAGCGAAAGGACGACAACATGCAGCTACTACACTATCTGAGACAATTGCCGAATCAGAGCAGCATGAATGGACTGAAAGCGAAGTCATATACCATGTACAACGCCGTGGAACGTTCAGCTCACTAAATATCGAGCTCACGTATGGACCTGCGATTCGAAGGCTCCAAGCTACGACCCCTAAGGCACCTCAACAAGCTGTCCACTCCAAACCACAAGCAATGACTATACCATACGGAATGACACTACGATCTCAGCGTAATGAGGAGAGAGACACAACACCGACCCCAATCGCACAATCGGTGCAGCAACAGTACAATCCAACAACCCCTGCCGCAACTACGTTATATGAGCAGGCCGTACCGGCTACGACGCATAGCCGCCAGACCGTCCATACAAACTATACCACGCAAGACACCTCGTACTACGGGGCGAATATCAGTCAGCTACGAAAGGCTTATTCAGAAGATCTCCGCTACGGCAATAATGAGGACACATTCGACTATTCGTATCAATATTTCTTAGAAATGTGCGGTCATATGGGAATCCACACCCAAGATGCACAAAGAAAGGCGTTTTTCGTGATGCTTAAAGGAGAAGCCCTTCGGTACTACTTTGACAACAAGGACGAATGGGTCCGGCGAGGAATCAACCCTATATCTGCTGTGAAAAGCTACTTTGAGACTGAGGAGCACCTTCGATTCGTACAGAGTCAATGGGATGCTACGAATCTAGCCAGTACTATGAGTAAGAACCCTGATAAGCCAATTCTAGAATGCCTTGAAATTATGCTTCGGGACCTACAAAGACTCTATAGCAAGATTCGTCCGGAGCTACGAAACGACGTCTATTACCATTCAAAGCTTGTATCAGCAACCCGTCTCGTCCCTGCGTGCCACGCCGCAACCGGAAAACCTTCACCGAACATCTCCAGCCTCATACAGGACCTACGATCAAGTATAAGCCAATGGGAAGACTCAAAACAAGCAGCAGCGCAACATCCTATGGATTCGTACTATACGGATCGCCGCTACTACAGCCGACAGTCACGTTCGCCACATAGAAGATGTTCACCGTACGGACGAAGCTACTCACGAGGAAGGAGCAATCTACGCTACCCTAGCCGTTCACCACGTCGCTACCAAAGCGAAGCACCGAAAACCTGCCACGTATGCCATAAACCAGACTGCTGGTCAACTAACCATACGGAAGAGGAACGACAAGCTGCTAGACGCCCATACGAGGCTGCAATAGACAAATTTATCATGGAATTCGAAGGACAGCCTCCAACGCCAGGGAAACGCTTCGAATCGTACTTGGCTGAGATCGACGAACCGAGCCAGTACGACCTCCCAGACCGTACGAAAAGCGAGCCAACTATGGCAACAGGATACTTCACAGTTGCCACTACGGATCATGCCAAATTCTCACCTTCGCTAGCAAGCGAACTCGCTAATCGTTCTGCAGCTCACTATCTCAGCTGCTTGCTAGGCAACAATCAAGAATGTACAGCCAAGCTCACCCCTAGCGACGAAGATGACACCAACGTACGGATCATACCAAGCTCTCATCATCTTACTGTACCCGAATATGCGTTTCTTGCAGAAGATCGATATTCATCAAACACGTTTATAGGGCTACTTATTGATACCGGCGCTGCAGCATTCTCAACGGCTGGATACGCTCAATATCTCGCATTTCGGAAAGTTGCCAAGAATTGTACGATGGACACGTCAACTGCCGGATCTGTAACTATACGATTTGGCGCTGGTAACGCGCTACAATCTCTAGGTTCGATTGATATAGAGACCCCGGTTGGCAACGTACGATTCCATATTATTGAGGCCATGACACCGTTCCTATTCTCTATCAAAGATCTCGACCGCCTCAAGGTTTACTACGATAATACGAAGGATCTCCTTATCCGCAGCGAACCGTACCTGACCGCGCCAATCGTACGCCGATTCGGCCATCCTTTCCTTATTTGGGACTATTCACTAGCAATGTATATCTCACAATCCTTTGACGACGAGCAATGCTTCCTTACAGATACGGAACTATGTCGATTACACCGCCGCTTTGGACATCCTTCTGTCGGACGACTACATAAAACCCTACAACGCGCAGGCTACGATACGCACCCTGAAGCAATAGAAGAGATCAACAAATTCTGTCACCATTGCCAAACCCACGGTAGATCGCCAGGCCGTTTCCGCTTCACCCTACAGGACGACATTGAATTCAATCATTCAATCATTGTAGACATTATGTATATCAATGGCAAGCCCGTACTCCATATTGTGGACGAAGCAACGCGTTTTAATGCCGCATGTTGGCTTACAAGTATATCCGCAAAAGCAACATGGGACGCGCTACGAATGTTATGGATTGATACGTACCTCGGACCCCCGGATTTCATCGTTACCGACGCAGGAAAGAACTTCGTAAGCAAAGAATTCACACAACTCGCCTCATCCGTTAGTACGATGACGGTCAGCGTTCCTGTCGAAGCACATTGGTCAATTGGCGCTGTTGAACGTTACCATGCCGTACTACGTCGCTCGTACGAGATTATTTCGGAAGAAGTGCCAGAGCTAGCACCCGAATTAGCGCTTCAAATGGCTGTCAAAGCTGTCAACGATACCGCAGGCCCAGATGGTTACGTGCCCACACTTCTTGTATTTGGAGCGTACCCCCGGATGACGGAATACAGTCCTCCTGCACCTACGGTTGCTCAACGCGCTGCCGCAGTCAAGAAAGCAATGACCGAAGTACGAAGGCTTCACACCGTACGCCAGATCAATGACGCGCTTAACACCCGAAACGGACCGTCGTCTACGCTCATACACCGTCTTCCCCTCAATTCGGACGTGCTTGTATGGCGCGAAGGAGGAACTGGATACCCTGGCAAATGGAAAGGACCGTACAAACTTATATCAATCGACGGAGAAACATGCACGATTGATCTCCCAAATGGCCCTACAAAGTTCAGATCAACTGTTGTCAAACCGTATCATAAAGATGATGATCCGAAGCAAGAAAACACTAATAATAATGATAAGGCTGAACCATATAGCGCACCTACGGCACCATTAATAGAACCGTCGAACGTACTCCCACCTCCTCCAAAAGTTGCGATCCCACCGTACGAACCAAATCACACCGAACCTCAATCACAACGCCCACAACGCGAACGCCGCTTACCACCTCGATATAAGGATGATCTTACGTACTTACAAGAGCTAGATGCCCCAGATCTACACGCCATCGCGGAGATATTCACACAACTTCTTGCTCCAGGCACGTACGACGAATCTCGCAAAAAGGAAGTTAACGGACTACTAGAAAGAGGCGTATTTGCAGCAGTCAATCGAGAAGACATCCCGCCAGAGGCCCGCATCTATGGCTTTAGATTCGTTGATGAGATCAAGAATAAAGGCACTAACAAAGCCTTCGAGAAATCACGACTCGTCGTCCAAGCGTACAACGACAAGGACAAAGAATTCATACTTACACAGTCACCTACGATTCAGCGCTCTAGTCAACGTTTGATTCTCTGTATCGGAGCAAGCAAGGACAACGTACAATTTTGGATCCGAGATGTCACGCAGGCTTATATTCAGTCAACAACACACCTCAATCGTGATTTCTATATTCGAATCCCCTCCGATTTGCAACGCTTTTTCCCTGGATGCGAATTCTTGAAGGTTGAACGACCGTTATACGGAATCCCCGAAGCAGGCAATCACTGGTTCCGTACGTATCATGAACACCACGTGAAGCAGCTAGCCATGGAGACCTCAACCTACGATCCGTGCCTCCTTCACTGCCGCGATCCGAAGCAAGGATTCGGCATTATTGGAATGCAAACAGATGATACGCTCATTATCGCTGACGAAGCCTTTGCCGTACGAGAGGAAGAGCAAATCAAACGTGCAAATATCCTTTGCAAGCCACGTGAACAGCTTATAACCAGCAAACCGCTACGATTCAATGGTGCGGTAATTACAGAAGATGCCCAGGGTGTTACTCTTACCCAAGAACGCACCTGCAAGAATATCCGACTCGTACAAGATCACCCTTCGGATACAGTCAACTCCCGTGGCAAGATTCGTAAGAATGCATCTCCGTATGAGCAGTACGTTGCTCAACGAGCTCTTGGTGCATATATTGCTTCTGTATCCCAACCTGAAGCTTCGTTTGATCTCTCTTTCGCAGCACAAGCCACACAACCGGATGAAGAGGATATAAAAGCGCTCAACAAACGACTCAAATGGCAGGCTGACAACCCCAACCGCGGACTACGATTCGTCAAGATTGATCTACGGACCGCACAATTGTACGCATTCGTTGATGCTTCGTTCGCCAACAATAAGGACTCGTCTTCACAAATTGGCTATATTATCGTACTCGCTGACGCCCAAAATAACGCGAATATCCTCCACTGGTCCTCTACAAAGTGTAAGAGGATTACCCGAAGCGTACTTGCTTCGGAGATGTACGGTATGGCCAATGGATTCGATGCGGCTGCAGCAATCAAATCAACTCTCACCCAACTGCTGCATCTTTTAGAGCCGCTCCCACTAGTCCTTTGCACTGATTCGAAGAGCCTTTACGAATGCCTCGTCAAGCTGGGTACGACACGTGAAAAACGCCTTATGATCGATCTCATGTGCCTCCGTCAATCGTACGAACGTCAAGAGATCACGGAAGTGAGATGGATCAACGGTAACAGCAATCCTGCGGACGCCATGACAAAGAGCAAGCCCTGCCGCGCTCTACAAGAACTTATTGATACGAACAAGCTACGTATCGACGTTGACGGATGGGTAGAAAGGCCGTTAACGAAGCGCAACTCTGAGTCAAAGAACGTACGATTTGCAACACCTGTTACTACACCGGCTCCATAGATTGTCATTCCTTACCCCGGTCCGCACCCGTTACTTTTGCTTCATTCTTTTGATTTTTCCTTTACCACACCAGATTGTATGTCATTCATTGATATTCCTTCTTTTCCATTCCTTTAGAGAGTTGCCAGTGTCGGAATATCAATCTCATGATTCGGCGCTTCTGCACCCCGGTGCAGAAGCAAGCACGTACGTACGGGAGCGGGATAACGTTATCCCTAGCGCCCGTACGGCAACCTCGTATATAGCTACCATGACACCCCGGGGCCCCCTACTTTCTCTGAGTTAGGCTTTATAATATCGAATATCATATATATACAGCTTCACCCTTGACAGGCTTGTCGGACTAGCCTTGCTACCGTCTATGCTTCGTGATACGGACCGTAGTTAAACCGACAGTAAGGTTTTCGGTTAACGTTTTAGCAATATCTCGATTGACATTAGTCGTAGGGGGTGGCACCGTCACTGTAGATGTTGGATCGACGTACTGCCATAGGTCGTAGAGAATAAGATGATCTTGCCAGTATTCACTCCAATCAACCCAATTGGAGTAGTCGAGGATTGGGAGCTTTTCACCAGAGGTAAAGGTGTTAGAGGCAGACATTTTTTTTGGAAGAGTAGAGGAGGTTGTAATCGAAAATCAGAGTCGAGTCTGGGTACTCCTAGGAGCTGTATTTAAGCCTAGAAGTCCTTCAGACAGTCGGTGAGACAGTGAGACGGTGAGGCCTGACATGTTGAAGAAACAGTCGATCGTGAAGTTCTTGATTTCCAACGTAGGTCTTGGTGGCTTCTTGACCGACATTTTGACGTTTGTTGTAGGTGGCTCTCTGAGTTGATTTGTCGCGATCCTTGACTGGTGCGGTCGTATATGGCCATCTTGTGACTGGATTCGAATTAGGAAGTAAGTCAGGTCCAGGTAATCACGATAAAGCATCTATAAAGCTCAGATTGAAGATGCGAGGAGCTCATAACCTGTTAATGTGCTGGTTGTTGTTATTGGTAATCTAAGCTAACTACAGCTGTGCTGACCCCTTTACGGAGGTCACATGACTCTCAGAACATAGTTGATCCGCGCCGGAGGGAGATTCACGGGTGTAGCACGCTGACAGTACTACACGGGTCATTGGGCAACCTGCAAGCCCCATACAAAATGGCCTTCATCAACACCTTGACTTCTCAACAGATTTATATATAAGCCATATCTTAGACTTGACGAATGATTCCTATATAAATCCCCATCAGAAATATCAATTTGGAAGTGCGCCTCTTCTATAAGTCTTGAGATGTTAGAAACTGTCGGAAACTTCGGTCAAACTACCGTCGAGTATATCTCGGATAGCTTATAACACGCTGAAGTTATAAGGCTTCTAAGTACGAAAGGCTTCTTGAAAGCAAAGTCTTAACAAAAGGATGAATATCCGGTTCGATAGAAGAACGTATACTCAAGTTGTCAAAGCTAAGGGGTACTTAGCACGGTTAATTCAAGACGATAGAGTAAAACTAAGTACATGGTAAATGAGCGTCCTTATATACCCTATCCTTGGTAGGGTCAGGAGATCCATAGACATAGTAATGGCTCTCTAGACTCGACCGGAGCTGGGAGATCCTTTGCTTCACTAGGGCTCGCCCGGCTCTCCTACCCTAACCCTAAGGTTGATACGGATAATCTTCGCTTCCGTAGTGAAGTAGTGTAACACTATCTATTCAATCCATTGGCTGCGGATTCTTGATTCTTCTGACAGAAACTAGCCTAGTTATTAATGTACATTGCATGACAGAGGGGTTCTTAATATTTTTAGAGTTCCTAAATCTAGATGTATATTAATACCTATATTATAAGCTATATGTTGGTTTATATGTGCAATCGAGATTCCTGGCACCGACGCGAACCAAGGAGAGGTCACGTGAAGGTACACGTGACCTCGTCAAGCAAGGACTATATAGACCGCGTCGGGGCCTCATTAAGAGAACACAGACGATTGAATACATTTGACCATAGTACTTGGAGTACCACCTAAAGCGCGTGTACAGACGTACGTACATTGTTTTATTGGCTTTATAAGCCAACCCACACCATATTCAATTTTTAGATATGGTTTATTGTAAGACGGAGAACTTAGAATCGGTGATAACTTCACCACGGAAGCTGGATCACGTGGTTCGTTCCGACTGCTTAGTCACTACCCGAACCGCACTAACGTGTTTCACGGGTAAACGGCGCACCCGGGTAAGTGGCACAGCCGCATCCCACTTGGTTCAAAGAACTCGTACAATTTATATGCAAACAGTGAATAAATTAATATTTACCTATGTAGATATATTTGGACAGCGATTGCGCTTATGCCCTATTTCCCAGCAATTACTACACCTTGGTAGGGCCCGTTGAGCTGGCTGCAAAGGCGCGCTCCCGTTGGGTGGAGGAGGGGGTTGAGCCTCTTCAGGAAGCTCCTGAGCAAGCTCTCGGCCTTCAGCGACTGTCAAAATACCATCGGCTTGTAGGGCTTTTGTACGGCGAGTGCGGCGCTTCTGTAAAATATCATTTGCTTCGCGTAGGTTATGGTTCTCCCTAGCTAAAATGGCAGCTTGGTGCATCACTACAAGGGATCCCTTGATCAACTGGTTAAAAGCCGGACACGATGGCGAATTGCTGTCTAAATCTCCCATATTGAGAGATCTCTTGACAGATTTGGCCTGTTTTTTTAGCGTACGGGCATTGTAAGGCGTTTTTGGGCTCCAGGTGCTGCTGCTTGACGTGCTAGGGCGAATTGAGGCTGGAGTAGCCTCCCGGACAGCAATTTGCAACTGAGATAGGACTTTTTGTGGATTATATGGCACAATCCCAGTGTGTGAAAAGCCGCTCTTAATATTTTGTGTGGTATAAGTTTGGATCCGTACGCTGTAAAGCATATCTAAGAAATCCAGCTTATCAACATGGTAAATCCCAATCCGAATCCGGCTCTCAACGGCGGCCCCGTACAAGCGCTTCAACACTGAAAACACCCCTACATCTAGAGGCTGAAGAAGATGAGATGAACGAGGAGGCATGCAACATGCAATAATATTATTATTTTTACATGCCTGATCAAATCCCGGTGTTAAATGGCTGCTATGGCTATCAAGTATCAAAAGCCGATAGGTACCAACTGTGAGAGGCCTCGTTTTTGGCTCAAATATCCTTTCTAGCCACTGTAAGCCGATTTCATCAGATGTCCAGCCATTTGGAGAGTGCGTAATTGACCAATTAGGGGGAAGCTTTGGGCTTGTATACCACTCAGCTCTGTTGGTGCCGGATTTGAATATAATCAGGGGAGGCACCACAGTGCCGGTGCTTCCAACGCACTCAACAACAGTAACCCATTCACGATTTCCTGGCTGAATAAGGCTAGGTTTTCCTGAACGATCTGAGCTGCATATAACTTTTGCTGTAGAAGAGATCCCCATGGCGAACCCTGTCTCGTCAAAGTTGTATATATCTTCATCGGCAATCCCATATTCCTCTTTGAGCTGCTTAATCTCCTCAAAAAAGCCACCAATAACGACTGGATCTTCACAAAGAGCTCTAGAATAGGATAATCGGCGTGCGAATTTAGCCTTGAGATCCGGTTGTCGCTTAAGAAAGGTTGTTACCCAATTCTTACCAACCTTCTCAGGTATTTTGGTAGGATCTCTTTGAGCTAGCAAAATATTTGCCATTTCATGGAGCATATGCTGCCTAGGCGGAACGCCACGGCGCTCTAGTGAGAAGACCCAACCCCGGAGTACAGCTTCTTCTGTAGGGGTCATCTTTCTGCGTGTAATACCGGCATTATGCGCTGGAACTGAGCCCTTCAGGCGCCTTCGCAGTGTTGTTAAAGATACGTCAAAAGTGCGTGCGGCGTCGCGTAATTTCGTGATTTTTTCGTTATTTAGCGCATCAATAGCAAGAGAAAGCCTCCCTTCATAGCTAGGATCATTTTTCGTACGCGATTTAACCATTTTTTAATGCTGTTGGTTCTGCGGAAAGTTGTTGCTAGAAATCCGGATGGAATTTTGATGTGGTGTGCCACTTACCCGGGTGCGCCGCTTACCCGTGAAACACGTTACCGTTCTGCTATGTATTTAGCTACGATTCGAATAGGACTCAGAAGGTAGCAAATAGCTACAGTACCAAGACATATGTGTTGGCACCCCCCATATCCGAACACCTGCAGACCGCTTTCCGCACTTTCACCGCCTTCCTAATATAGTAATTATCTACCTGTCCAGAACCTCCGAAAAGCCCTAATACTTTGTATACCAGCCATCCGCCTCTATAACCGCACGTGCGCCGTCTTGGAGGTCTTGGAGCCATTTTTATTTAGAAATATAGATCTATAGGTATTACATAAAAATTTGTATGTGACGCGATGTGTACGCGTTTCTTCCGGCAGAATGAATGGCGGTGTGGGAATCTCGGATAAGGGGGGTGTCAACACATATGTCATCCCACTGTACCTTACGAAGCGTACCCTACCTTGGAAATCGAAGCTATATTCGTATCTCATTATCACGCTCTCTACCCAATCTCTTACATTTATATATGAATCTGTTGAGAAATCAAGGTGTTGAAGAAGGCCATTTTGTATGGGACTTGCAGGTTGCCCAATGACCCGTGTAGTACGTTATCACGTCTGAGCGCGTCTTTGTTAGCGTGCTAACCAGAATTCGAGCGTATTGGCCTGTATGCTAACAAACAGTACAAAAGTCAACCACCTTGGATTCTGTTTTTCTCAACAACCATTGCTTGCATAACATTACCGCTTCTACCGATATGTTAGTGAGTCGATTTTGAATATATTGATACGCATTTATTATGAAATTGCTTCCTTAATTAGTGAGTAATTATCTACTAAAGATGACAGCTTTCGCTCCATACAAAATTGGACGCAAATCTGATGCAGATTGACAGAATACAATCATAAATTCTTTATAGGATATTATTTATCCTAGCGTCTTTTATATACTTCAGGGGTCATTGCCTTGGA